GATTTTGTAGAGTCTTTTATACCATAGTGTCTTTATGTCAACAGCAGCCAGTCTGTAAGATTTGTATCATATCACTTGCCTGCGGCGTGTTCCTTGATTATTGCCATTTTATTGGAGCAAGTGAAGAAGTAATTTGTAGATTCTGTAGCATTGTTAGTGCCAAATATTAGAAAGGAAATGTGATCAGGATGATTGAATGAGAGGAGAATTGGATATGTTTTTTTTTTCTTCTTCGTTAAATGATAGGAGCGGTCATACCCTACATTTAGACCTTGCTTGCGCTGTGCTATAGTTTCGAAACTTTCACGATTTCAAATTAAAAGCTGATATAATGTACAAGCCATTTAGCTTTCCTATCTTCTCCTTTGGAGGTTGTTTTCCGAGATTGATTTGACCCGAACAGTTACCCGATTCTTGGAAACCCGATGAGGCTGGACTGATCGCTGGATGAGGCTGCGATAGTGGGGCTAAAGCACGAGGCGCTCTAGACCAAAAACAGCTAGCGATTTCCCTAGCGCCAAAAGTTTCTTGACCTTGACCTCTTCACTTTTTTTCCTGGAGAGCTTTCTTCCTCTTCATCCGCTCGACATCGAGCAACACCACCTTCACACGCGCAAGTCGCGATGCATGAACATTTTCCCGCTAGTTGCTTGCATGCTCTAGATCTTTCTTTTATCTGCCAGCTCTGCTGCGTGGCGCTGATGGTCGGCAATTGTTTGGCAGACGGAAAATATTCATGGTAAGCTCTATTCCTTCAACCCCACCGCCCTTTCTCTCCAACCCCCGATTTCAATGATGAACTTTCGTGTCGCCCCTATCTTAAAGAGCCTCTCAACCAGGCTCCGTGGTGATTAACCTGTCTTAACCAAACGGACTATCTGATCTATCTCCAACACCTTCCACACTTCACCTCAATTCCACAGAAGAGAATAAAAGCTAACATTGCTTCTCTTCAAGAAAGATACCAGCCGATTGGATTGAACTCTATTGTGAGTACACATACATACAACGAAAAGAGGGAAGACGGGTCCACGACATCAACATGATGACTAAAACATATACTATCAAATGCCGACTATCAATGACGAGCAAACTGGTTCGATTACCTGATATTGATGTTGTGGACTCCATCGTCACCTCAAACCACAAACCAACCACCTGTCCGTTCTCCTGCTAACGAAGTCTTGGATACGCAGAACCCGACAGCTTTGCTACACATACCTGCCTGCTTGCAGACTAACCAATGGTATGTACACAATATTTCTTCTCTACTTGGGGGTGGGAATGGGAGATTGGTGTGTTCGAGGCCTATGATGTAACAAATCCATGCTAATGCTGACGGTGCTTTACGTACCGGATGCTGAAAAAACTTCAGACTTTTCATCTTTCAACTGAGGCTTCTCTTCATGCGTATATATTCTGTGTTAGGTTCTATGCTAGACATGAGGCTAACTTTGTTCGCGAAGACTATTTAGGGATTGTGATAACTTGTGCTACGTGCCAGGGTAGTTGGAGCTAGGATTAGAGTTTGCATATGGGTTGGGCTGGAGCAGGTGGTGTTGTGGGAAGTGTGGTGGTTTTGGGAAATAATTTCAAAATGAAAACAGATTTTCTCATGAGATCTTCACAGATTTGACTCACTCTCCTCTCCCCGTGTTGACATACCCTCGTCTCTACAGATGCTAAAGGCTCCTTCGACAGCTCTGAATACCGAGAAGCTTACTCCATACCTTCCATATTCCATATCTCCAACCCATCATCCCACCAAGTGACTGTCCAGCTCCACATCTACATCTTATCTCCAAAGCAACCTACCTTAGAAGTTAACAAAAGGTATTCCTTCATCAAAATTCTATTACATCGATACCCCTCATTGCAAAGTAGAATAATTCCCTCCCTCCCACAGCCACTTGGCACTCACTCACTCGCTGTATGAATATCAGTGATCCCAGATAGTGAGAATTAGGACTCGGGATGGAATACTTGTACTTGTAGTTGTACTTACTGGTGTAGGGTTTTAAAGGGTGTGTGTTATCGATCTACTTTGGAACTTGATCCGGGATACTAGGGTATGTTTTCTGTTGAGGAAGAATGAGAGCAAAGAGGAAGGAATGAGGGAGATTTACGAAGTTAGTTATTGAGCTAAACATAAAACCAAGAAGAAAGAAAGAAACGTTGGTCGTAAAGGTAGGTCTAGCAGCAAGCAAGCGAGCAGTCTTTTAATTAGTCCAATTATACTTATGTACATATATGTTGTTTGAATTTTTTTTTTTGAAAAGAGTGAAGCCAAAAAAAAGAGGAGAGAAAAAAAGGGAAATGACAAGCCACGATGGAATCAAACCATCTAAACTTCTTCAATCCAAGTCCTCTGTATAAACTTGGCGGTGCTGGGAATCGAACCCAGATTGAAACGGGTCAGCATGAGAATTCCCACTCCTCGAAAGGAGAGGAGGAAAACCACAACGTCACGTGCTACCATTACTGGAAGGATGGTGTTAGTTGTTTGATTTCGTGAGTTGGAGGGGGAGGGTGGGAGAAGAAACGTACCACCACACCACCCTGTCACGGGTTATGTGGTGGATTTGCTTATTTGGGTGTTTGCGGGAGGGAAGTTTTTTGACGGCTGTGAGGGTGGGTGTGAATTGACTGGGTTGAGTGAAGTGGAGTAGGGAGGGGGAAGGTAAGTTTTTACTGGGTGGATTGAGGCATGTTCGTTTGCAAGTCAATGACTTAAAAGTTAGTCTGCTGGTGGAATCCGGTTTGCAATATCTATTTATGTTATATCGCTCTCACTCGCTGCTTCTATCGTACAGAGCTTCCAGATGAAAACGAAGAGGATTTTTACACTTGTAAAAGTCAGCGGACGAGCAAGATAAACCGATGTGAGATGAAGTTCCTCAACTTCATGCTGAAGTCACTATTATAGCCATGAGAACTGCCTAACTAAGCCTTACATACTGACTCTGAAACTAAGGATTTGAATTTGCCGTTTGTCAACTTTCCCGAGGGGAGTTTGTCTCAGGTCCCAGTGATAGCTGCTGCTTTTGAAGACTATAAGCAGATCGCTTCAGCTTACTCGTTGCTACTAAATAGAGGGCAGGCTTTTGGGATTTCGAAACGAAATGCTAGTACTGGAAAAGTGCATTGTATCTGGCTTTTTAAGTCCCAAGTTCCGAAGGACTGGAAATCCTCGAGCACCTTTGAAGTCATGCACGAGGGACTCGGCTAACACTGCCGATGAGATGGCAGGTGCGCGAAACCAGGCAGTTGCAGTCTCGCTATCTTCTTCTGTTTCAATACCCTCAGTTCATAAAACGACTTTACTTCCTTAAACGAAGATTTTGTAGACTTTGAGACTCTTTCGAATTAATGTTCTTGGAGGTGGGGATTTGGACTTCGGCTCGCTAGCGTAATGCTGCAACTGGGTACGAAAGGGGGTTTCAGGTGGGGCTCGTCCACCCCTGCCGGGCGGTGAGACTCATCGAAGCTCGTAGAACCTATGCCTCCTACATTGATTTAATGACTGTCCCTTACAGATTTGTATAGAGTAAACATCGTCAAAATGCCTTGGACATATGAAACCCTAACTCGTGTGCGCTTTAAAACTCTTCTTAGTGAGGGCTATTCCCAACGCGCTGCAGCACGCAAGCTCGGTATTCCACGCTCTTCAGCACAATATTTCCTGAATAAACCTGATCGACAAGCAAAACCTCCCGGCGCTCCTTCAAAGATATTAGACGAAAAGATTCAAGAGATAATTAGCTGGTTTACAGGCTATTATGAGCGGCGAGTTCTTTCCCTTCGACAAATCCGCGAGAAATTCAAATTAGATTGTTGCGATAATACTTTACTTGCAGCTTTCCAGCGTCACGGTTATCATTACTATCGTCCTGATTGTAAGCCATTTCTATCAAAAGAGAATAGGCTTAAGCGGTGGAGCTTTTCTATTGCGAATTGGGACCGGAAGAAAGAGTATTGGCGACGAGGGAGATTCACAGATGAGACGATTACTCGTACAGACTTACTACGGAGACGGAAGGTCCTTCGTCGACGAGGGGAAAGAAAGAGGCTTGATTGTATTCAATTTACCTTCCACTCAGGACATAAGTCAGTGATGGCTTGGGCTGCAATCGGGTATAATTACAAGTCACCATTATACTTTGTTTCGTACGAAGGAGAGGGAAAGGGATTTACACAACAAAAGTACGCAAACCAGATCCTCAAAGGACCGTTGAAGGAGATATTTGAACAACCAGGAGACTTCTTTTGCGTGGAGGATAATAGTAAGGTTCACGGAAAGACTGATACGAAGGGGAATCATGGATTTTGCAATGCTATACGATTAGAGTGCCATATTTACTCAATCGATTGGCCTCCTTGCTCACTAGATCTCAATCCAATTGAGAATATTTGGAGAGTTCTTAAGCAAAAGCTACGAAACCGGAATCCTCACGGAGGGTGGAAACTTGAAGATTTGAAAGCAGCTATGCTCGATATCTGGGAAAAGGAGATTACTATTGATTTGATTAATAGATTCGTGGATACTATACCACAAAGGCTAGAAAAGGTCAGACTAAGGAAGGGAGGACCTTCTGGGTGGTAATGTAAATAGATTTCCAAATACAGCGTAGAATATGGCAGAAAACAGGGGGGTGGACGAGACCCACCTGAAACCCCCTTTCGTACCACAATCACTTGACAGTATCTCAAGAATCAGTTAACCGAAACTAGAGTTTGGAATTGGAATTTGCTTCTTGAGCTATAGAATTCAAGAGGTCGTTGTGGCTTTACTCTCGAATCAATGGGTGGTAACTGAGAAGTGCTCTCTTTCCCCCACTAACATGGTCTGGCTTGCCCCCCACCCCACTTAACGTTAAATCGAACCCTAAGACGCACTTCGGCAAAAGCTTGTCAAACCACCGAAAAAATCAATAAAACTGCCAGGCAACTTGAGAATCAACTTCAGTCCACTCGGGTCAAAAATGCAAAAGATAATGGATTGCAACATCCGTGAATCGAACACGAACCTCCACCTTACTTGACTCTTTTGGAGTCTGGAAGGGTGGAATCCTAACCATTGGACCAATGAAGCGTCTTCAGCTGGTGTGCTGATGTGTGAGGTTTCCTTATTTAATACTATATTAGTGTCGAAATTTGTGGGCCTAGTTTTAAATTTCCGATTTTGGCACGTGAGGAACATCAAATCCAGATTCTATGACACTTTATTCCTAAGCGCTTTATGATTCAAAGTCCATGAAACTTTCAAGACTTCTTTTAAAATAGCTAATTAATTATGTAATCATTTTTGACAGTAGCTTTTTCAAAGAAATTGTGGTTTAGTTGCGAGTTTGTAAGAGTTGCGTGTCTCGCCAAAATCGGCCACTTAATTCTCCCCACAAGAGCTTGGCCATTTCATTGACTAACTCGCTTGGCTTAGGCTTAGCTGGAGTTTTTCGAACAGGAACGAAGATCATAACAAAGCAGGCTCAAATGAAGCTGGATTAAGGATTTTCAAAATCGATAAATGATTTGAATACGAAGACCTTAGGCACTCGGTGTAAGGAACTTAGCCTACTACCTAATCTGGGCTTTCCCTTCGTCACGTAACCGGAAACCTCAATTCTTTCCTAATCCTCCTTTTAACTCTTATCACGTCACTGCTCCCCCGCCCCGAAAAAGAAACAGATAGCAAGTTTGCGAGAAAATGATTTGAACCAGAAAGTGATCAAAACTGTGTGAATGGTAGTTAATTAAGGCACAAAGAGGTCCTAGATACTGAAAATGTAGTCGCTGGGTCACTTCTCGCTTCCCTAAAAATACCCCCTTTCTACGCTGCACATACTCGGCAGGCTGAGCTAGAAAGTGCAGATACGGCACTTAGTTAATTGAAAGCAGAATAGCTGTATTGATTTTGAGAGTGAATGATACGGGGAGGATTGGGTGAGGGGAAATGTTACATCGGAGATTGGGATGATGTGAGATGTTGGTGTTGGTCTTGTTGGTGTGGCTAACAAGGGCGTCAAATCAGCACTGTATATTACCTTATCTCCCTAAAACTGGTTAATAAAGTTCGAAAGAACTTAATTAATTATATGAAAAGAAAAAGTTTTGAAGAGGTAAGTTTCTTTCGTCTTGAATCTTCATGCAGCTGAATAAGGGGAGAATTACGACTCAACCTGCAGCAGGGGTTGTGGATGCCTGATTCCAGGCCCCCACCATCTCTATCAACACATATGAAAACAAGGCCTCACCCATTTAAAGAATTATGTATTTTTATTCATCGATTGTAATCATACTATTAATCTGCTCTTTGTTCAAACAAAACCAACTGGAGAGATTGGCAGGCGGAACTGGAATTATTCTTCAACCCATATATCTCACGACAGTTCGTTCCTTCGCTTTCAAATCCAAGCAATGAGTTCAGACGAGAACACTAAGAACTATATGAAGTCCCGAGAAGAGGACATAAGAGACGAGAGAGAAGCAGAGAAATGGAGACTCGCACACCTATCACCAACCGAAGCACCATCACCCAAATCGTCAAAACTAGCTTCCCTCACCACCAAGCTGAAATACCTCTTCGTCCCTAAAGACAAACAGACTTCCAACCAAAACACCAACCCAACATTCCACCAATTCAGTCTCCTCCCAAACGAACTCCAAGTTCAAATCTGGACATACGCGGCCCAAGCACCATTAATCTCCAAAACAAACTACAGCATCATAACCTCGCATCGCATCTCACCCACACCCGATCTCTCACCCCTCAGAAAATGCCCCCTCCAAACACCCACAACATTTTCCTCGAAGACACTCTCCCCGTTCTTCTCCCTCTCAGATCCAATACCGCCGTCTAATCCGAACAACAAGATCTTCTTCCCTATTGCACCGCTTCTGCATGCTTGTTCGCTCTCGAGACATATCTTCCAGCAGGAGTGGGAGCCAAAGTTGCCAGAGCATTTGAGGGGTGTTATTGGGAGGACGGGGAGGTGGGTTATTTTGATGACGAGGGTGCTGGAGAGGCAGGGTCAGGGGATTTTGGTGCTGGAGGAGTGGGAGGGGTGGGAGGGAGTGGGGATTTGGTGTGGTGGACGGTTGGATAGGAGGGAGGGGAAGGTGGTTACTTATTATTTGTTTAATTATCAGTGAGAGGATAGGGAGTGCGGGATAGGGAGGTAGAGGCAGAGACTCGTATGAAGTAAAGCCGGGCTGATTTGAGGTAACTGATGGGGAATTAAAGAAGTGGATGTGACTGGATGAAGAGTAATTATATGTGAAGCTGCAAAGTTTTGAAAAAAGATTAAGAGTTTAAAAAATCAGATTCTCAGACGCAGCATAAGGCAAGAAGCGAGCGGTTCCAATGAGCTGCAAGTCTAATATAGAGTTCACGACAAGTCTGATGTGAAGGTTCATTCGAGCTACTCAATCCTGGTACCCCGAAAGCTCTTTATCGTTCCAACTACACTCGTTAGCCACGTCCGTCAAGCAAATCAAAGCCCACGTACCTCAAAAACTTCCCACTTAATTCCTTCTTGGCCCCAACAGCCAGCCTAGCGATAACATTCCCTGGCTGCTCTGGCCTCAACAATTTCCCCTCCTCATGGAGACTTTTGAACTTCTCGGCATCCTTGCTATCCATCACTGTGTTATTCCCTCTCACCTCGACCTGCATATCAGTATCTACAACACCAGGTCTCACAGATACCGTAGTGATAAGTGGCTCCTCAGTAGCGAGTGTACCAGCAAGATGGTTAAGTGCTGCTTTTGCCGAGCCATAGGCACCCCATGTCGAGTACGTGTTTGAAGATGCACCGGAGGATGTCAGGATTACCCTTCCTTTGCTGGAGCGAAGTGCTGGGAGAGCAGGTTGGATCTATGGGATGTCAGAAGGTTTATCAGGAGGAGGAGGAGAAGACGTACAAATCCGATCAAGCTGAAGAAGTTCACATCGAAAGCCTTACGCCACTCAGCTGGCGTGCTGTCTGCTATTCTCTTTACTGGGGATAGGGTGCCGTGATTGAGAATCAAGGCGTCGAGAGTCTTGAACGAAGACAGAGCGAGGGAAATGGCTTTTGGTCCGACCTAGAAGATGTGAGCCACGGCATGAGCAAGAGCACTGCAATCTGCATGGAATACTTGTTGATTGCTGGACATCGACTGAGATGAGTTGCTGTCCAAGAAGAGAAGGAGCACTAGCAATATAATCAAAGAGCCAAGAGAATGAGCTACTGAGAAATGAGACTAACTTCAACGACTCTTTCTATTCACATAACCGGAGCACTTGCTTCGATCATCCCGCGCACATTCTTCGTATGAAAACGTGACCTTAAACCCTCATGCATACCACCAAACGCGAGAACAACAACACATCCCATACTATAAGCGAGAAAACAAGCTGGCGCTTACCTCAAAATCCCTCAGATCTGCAGCCAGAAACTCGACTTGCCCCGGGAACTCCTTCTTCAGCTCCTCCATTGGCGCGGCCGTTCTCGCAACAAGGAAAACTTTATGGCTCTCCTTGAGCAAGAATCTCGCAACTGCAAGACCGATTCCGCGGCTGGCACCTGTGAGGAGAATGTTCTTTGTTGACATGGTGAGATATGTGAGGTGTGTGATGATTGGAGAGGAAGGATGGGATTGATGGTGAGTGAGTGAGTGAGTGCCGTGGGGTGAAGCGGGGACTTTGTTCGAAGTGGGGCGGGTCTTTGCATGGGTTTGGGACGTTATGAAAGGTTCGCTTCGATTCAATTTTGTCTCCTTTTCAAACACAACATCATTATTGACAAAGTTGCAGCATAATGCTTGAGATCTATGAAGACAGTCACGGTGATCTATACAACGTCGAGCTTGCGTCGGCTTAGGAGAACATATCTGAGCTGGCCTGCTTTGCCTAGCTGAACTTTGGCTGTGTCATAAACCCCGAGCGTTCCAGCTATCTACTTTTCCTTTTTGAAGTTTCTTTCTTGATATCTCGTACTCGATTTCTGGCCTTTTGTTTCAAGCGTCACAGAGCCTTGATTCTTTTCCTACCCAGAGGCCTGATAGTCATTCTCCATGAGGTGTCGCGCACAAGGGATGGTCTTGGGAAGGAAAAGAAGAAGCATCAAATACGCAGGAAGTAATATTATGGGGAAACATTGTTGGCATTACCTTTGGATTCTTCCTGCAAATTTCATCAGCTCCATTGAGAGATAAGCCTAGGTCCTTTTCTCTCTAGGAGTGCAACCCCCCCCCCCCCCCCTTTTTTTTTATAAAAAAAAAAAAGGTAGGAAGAAGTTGTACCTGTGGTGAAGGTTTCAAGTACCTTATTCTCACTCCCGAAACAAAGTCACAAGACCTCTCCCTTATAATAAGCAACAGTGATTGAATTGAACTACCAAAGAATCCATCCTTGCCAAGAGTCTTATAGATTACCCCCACACAGCCCCATTTCAGCATTCCCGCCAATTTCGCTTACGAAGGTTCAGTGCTTAGTGTGACGTGGTGGCGCGGGTGCATGAAATCGTGGACCTTTCTTCTTCTGGTAGTTTTCAACGACATTTCTCTTCAAAGATTCCTCCTACCTGTTGAAAGAATTCTTTAAGAGAGTATTGAAGGTGTTGGGGTGCCGCTTCAGTGATGCGGCGTTCGTTTTTCATTGCCCCGCCATATCATCGGTCATCAGGGGTACCGCAAGGGCATTAAATCGTTGACATCAGTCACCTAATGGGACTGACTGGCTGGTGCGTCATGTGATGGCTCGTTGAGAGGGATAAGCCGAAGCTTATTGCTCTTCTGTTTGTTCTGTTATTCTTATCCAAGTTTGTGTTTGCATTACTAGACACTGCTGTGTAATTTTTGAGTGTACTTCTGGCTTGTCTGCGGGTGGAAAGGCTTGTGGCGGTTCACGAAAGGATACCTCAGGGACCACCACAAGGCGTTGTCGGTTGGGCCTGGGAACTCATCATGTATTCCTCTCGTCGTGTTGCAGTCTGTTAGGGGAGCTTAACTCTACGATGTGCTTGGTACAGTGTGGTGTGGTGTGGTGTAGTAGTCTTGAGCTTCAACTGCGCGCGTTCATGGTCGCACCTCGCTATCACTAAATGTGTGTAC